AAATGCATTGGTTTGTTAAATATACAATTATATTTAAAGTAGTAGTTGAATTGGAGTGTCGTGATGTGTTGTGTAGTGTAGTGCAATAGAGAAGTTAAGTGCATGTGTAGTGGAGTGTAGTGTAGTGTAGTGTAGTGTAGTGGAGTGTAGTGGAGTGTAGTGGAGTGTAGTGTAGTGGAGTGGAGTGTAGTGGAGTGTAGTGGAGTGGAGTGGAGTGGAGTGGAGTGAAGTGAAGTGGAGTATATTTATTACTTAAAAATTCCGTGAAGGACAGTCATAAATTTTATAGGTATTGCTGCTATTGTTATTATTGTTATATTATTGTTATTGTTATATTATTGTTATTATTGCCTTTAAATGCTTTAAAATTACAGTGTATTAGTATTTTTAGTTGTAATATGTAAATTGTAGTGTTCTGCCACCAGGTTCTATACCTACCTGCAGAAATGATAAATCTATCTATCTATACTATTTGAGACTATACGGAGAATCCAAAAGGAAAGTAGTATTAATTTTAACAATGACATTTAATGTATTATTTACCATTTGGATTGTATGATTCTAAAGAAATTCTATACAAACGTTTAAGTCTTAAGTAAAATCTTTTCTGCTTCACAACTGTTTATATACAATTAGAGATTATGTCTAGCATCCAAAAGGAAAGTAATATTAATTTTAATGACATATAATGTATTATATAACATTTGGATTACATAATTGTAAGGAACCTGTAACATGTATTGTACTTCAGCTTCTGGGTCAATGACCCCCCCATTCCGATAAGGTTTTAGTCCAGTTTCCCTGATCCTCAAGAAAATGCTGAGCTGGTCTCTTGCTTTGCTTCTAGACATAAATGTAACTTCAAATTAACTTCTCCCCATGGCACGTCACACACAGTTTGTAACTGTTTTTGACGTAAATAAATAAATAAGTAAATAAATAAAGCCCCACATGAGGACTTCCCTCCCCCTCAGTCCTGAACCAATGGAATACAGTAAAACCTGACTTAGGCGGATATCAGGGGTTCCAAAAATATTGGCTGTTTTAGAGGTGACCGCAAATCAAGATATTGATTTTATTGGGAGCGTAAATCAAATCAATTCGACCTAATGTTTGTGGAAGTAATAATATTCTTTCATTTTTTAATTGCTGTAAATGGAAAAATGCAATTTAAACAATATATGTATATATATATATATATATATATATATATATATATATATATACCTGTAATAAAACACTTCCATCACTTGAAACTCATTCTCTTAGTCGAGAAACTCACTTTCAAACTGGACTTGAAAATGCAATTCACGTCCTGAAGAATCTTTACTGTAGGGGCGTCTGACGAAGGTGTTAGGGAATGACTTGCAGATAGCATTTTCACACGTGTTGTTCTCCTCAAACCCTTAATAATTTCCTCAGATGGAGAGCACGAGTAAGTAAACCACAGGAATTCTGTGGATTGAGAGGCTCAGAGCACAAGGGATATACGTTCTTGGAATGTAGTATTGAGAAAATCGTGTTCAAAGTTTAATGACTACAGAAAACGCTGTGGAAGGAATTTCTTTCTACCTGGTAACGTTTGAGCTATTGGAATATAATTTTTTCACGTAATAAAATGGAGATTTTTCCTTTACACTCTTACTTCTAACTCAAAGTTTGCCAAAATATTGCTTAGGCTCTGGACCCCTCAATTGAGGGAAATTAACAAGTGTTTTGCGTATTAAGATATGTTTATTAACATCATGTGTTGTTACTTTTTTTCTTAATGCAATCTCCCAGCGAGATGAGTGACTCTAGAGTCGTTATTCGACTTTGTGACAATGCGTTCTGTCGTAAGAAAGTATTTAATAAAACACCACATTTACACCTTTCTTATACCATACATTGCTTGAGGCGTACGCTTAGTCTGATTGAAGCTGAAAAGATGGAATATTTACCCGTGTTACGCGTAATATTTACACAAAATTAAAGTTTCACGAAAAAAGGTTTTTCGTGAGTAGGGGACTACTCAATGGAGGTGGCAGTTAGTGCAGGTTGCACTGTATAATCAACCGCTAGCTGTAACAACGTCAGGAGGAGCTAGATATAATGGAATTTCGAAGTGCTATTTCACCTGCCCTTCTTATCTCGGGAACCGCTGCCCCGGCATTTAGAGAATTCTACACGGAAAACGGGCGACTCCGGTCTACACGTCGTATCTCCGAAAATTACTGTTAATCGGCTTTTTTCTTCTGCACAATCTCTTCGTGAATCGGCGATCACGCTAAGATATGTTGTATACTTCTTTTTTTACTGTGATTGTAGTAAAATTTTTTGGTTAATTTGTAACTGTCATTCAAGCCGCACAAAAACTTTTAGAAACTCTAGACCATCAAAAAGAAGAAAAAATAAAACGAACTTACCTCTTCTTCAGGTACCATTTCCGGTATGTCATCATCTATCTCGTCGCACTTGATTGAGCACAGAGTTGACAAAAATGGTCCAAAGATGAACTTTTCTTGATCTGCGGTCGTCAGTTTAGTTGATGAGCTAATAGAAAGAATTGTTTCAAGTGATTCATCATTTTGTTTCGTGAAGGGGCTGAATTCCGGAGGTAGTGAAGGACGTGAGAAAGAAGATTCTGGAAAGACCGGCCTAAGTAAGTCTGGAGATATTAGAGATAGTAATTGCGAAATTAAATTCGGTAGTAATTCTGGAGGTCGTTGAGGTCCTAGAAGTGCTGTGAGATCTGGATTAATGAAAGGATTCGGTGGCATTGCCGGTGATGATGGAGGTCCTGGTCTATTATTATACATAGAAGGACGTAAAATGGAAGATAGTAGAGGAAATATATCAGAAATTGAGGGTTGACTTGTTTGACGAGTTGGAAATGGCGTGACACCTGGTCCTGGAACTAGGAATTGGTTTCCTTGCTGTGGTGTGGTTGGACCAGATGTTGAAAATATTGAAGGAGGTCCTTCACACCCAGGGGGAGCAGGTCCCGCAGATAAGGCAGGTACGTTCGAAGGCGGCGAAGGTGGAAGGGGTTCTGGATCTTGGGGAGGACGTTCTCCAGGGAAGGAAGTAGGAGTACCTGTCGACCTGGGAAGACTTGATTTTGGAGATATTGGTCGAGGTGTCCTCGTATTTTTTGAAGGGCGGAATCCGTGAGGTCGTGAACCTGACAGTGAGGCAGACATAAACAGAAGAGATCTGGAAGATATATCTGGAACTGGTTGCGGAGACGTGGGTAGAGAGGATCCAGGACCTTTTGAACGAAGCAAACCCGAAAGTACTCGGGAAGGTGGAGATCTTGCTGGTAGCGCTACAGATGTGGGAGGGGGCGTTGCCAAAGATGCAAGAGCCCGCGATTCTATAGGTGCAGTCAGGCGTGAGTTTGAAAATACGGCCTTAGTTGGAGATACTGCAGACGGTTTTGCCGGAGGTGTAACATAACGTGAGCCAAGAAGTGTAGATGGAGGAACGTCCGGTGATACCGTAGCCCCTGATTCTGCACTTTGACGATCCATTGATGGCCTCCCAAGAGGTGAGGGTGGCAAGATGGGCTCTGTAATGGATGATGTAGAGGTATCTGACAACTGCCCATGAAGCGACTGTGGACTTGACTCCGTAGTGACGTCCCTCGCAACCACTTCGCGGAACGCAGACTCCAATACGACGAGCAGGGCAAGCCTGGATTCAGAGAAGGGAATTCAAGATGGTACGATAAAATAAAACCATTAAAATACATTTGTTTCATAAAACATGATTTTAAAATAAATTTCACCAACATGTGTAGGTAACCAGAGTACTTTTTACTAAATTTGAAATTCATGCTCAATATGAAGTAAATAAAAAATAACGATAACGGTAAAAACGATTCATAAATATTGTTTGGGTTTTATTTAATTGGTGCTTTTTTCTTTTCTTCAGTTTTAGAAGAAAGAAACTAGAAATTGATTTATTGCAAAAAAAGAGGTCAAGATTTATGACAATGTCCGGTTTGAAAGCCTCTGAGCCAAAAATTTGGACTTCACTCCGATAACAGTATCTGCGCGCGCGAGTGACGAATAAGATGGCCAGATTTGTAGCTTTTGAACCCTCGCTTGGCACGCGGTAATGTCTGTTAGCATCGTTCTTAAGATGTGTAACACAGATGCAGATAGGCGCGAGGGATAAATGAAACTTAGTACCTGAAAGAGCACATGTAGGGAAATTTAACAATTTAGCTTAAAGTACCTGGTCTGGGAAAGACAATATGACGACCTTCCCTCCTTTAGTTCCATCCCAAACAGTTTTATGGTTTGCAAGACTTACATGGATTTGTCAACTGAAAAATAAATACTTCTAGCTGAACCCTTGTGATTTCGGCGCCCAAATGGAAAAGCTGTAGAACAGTTACAACAGAAAGGTACCGCGCATACACTATTCAAAAAATCGGATCTTCCACAAAAATATTGTTCCATGACGTGCAGTACTTATTCTCTATGACTAATGAAATTAGGGAGGTTTGCAAAGTCTGGAACAATGTTCTCACTATTTACTGTTAACATAGTTAAACACGTTTCTGATAATGTAATTGTAATGTTTTATATTTATTTCTGATATTGTAATTGAAATATTTATATTTATTTATTGTACTGCGCTATGGCAGGAAGTGGCTATGTACACATTAATTTAGACATAATTGAATTGTTTCGCAAAGGGACACATTTTTTAAACGATACATCACTAATATTTGCATTTAAAAACACTGAATTTACAAACTTCTAAAATTTTCTATCTTCGCTTCTCTAACTCTAACATTGCTGCCCGCGCACACACACACACACACAACCGACACAAACACACTACACAACAGCACACTGCACATTGCTTCGCTGGAACTTAGATCTTCTTCAAGAAGGTCTTGATTGAACTAAACGATGAAATGAGCAAAAGACGGGAGATAGATGTTCATTCTCTGACTTTTATGATTTTATTACAATTTTGTGTTTATACTATAAAACCCGTTAATAATAGCAAATCGAAAGTTAATCTTTAATTTAAAGTAAAAGCAATGATATTTTGGTGAGCAAAAAGCTCATTTTTCTTTCTAAACGAAAACACTTCGTATTGTAAATATTTACAAGATTAAAAGAGTAATATAATAAACCGTAAAAAGAGTTACGAGAGATGTTTAAAGTGTCAGCGGGCATAATAAACATGATACAAAAACAAAGCCCGGCAGCCAAAAGACAATTGTGGTAGATATTAAGGAGTAAATTAATGGGAAATTTGAGGTACAGGAATGTGAATCTTTGAAAGCTTAGTTGGCTCAATTGTGTTGTGGGGACGGTGGTTCGTGTTGATTAAAAAATATTAGGGTATGACTATATCTACACCCGGATTTTTGGTGGAGAAGGAGACATCCAGAATGAATATAAGGTTGATTGAAGATGACATAAGGAGAAAGGAGAGGAAATGGGAATGAAAATGAAAGGCAGGCATGGATACAGATTAAGCAACTGAATGCAGTATAAGTGTTGCGTTGAGAAAATTTGGAGATAAGTTTGATAATGATATATTTTACGCAGGTGTGTAGATTTATAGGACAAGGAAATAGATAACTAATGTTACAGAATTATCGAAAACAAAGACAAGAATACATAAAAACAGGAGTCATATGATACGTTAAGATGTTAATATACAATGAAGTTTATAAGATTACACACCAGAGAGGAATATTGGAGAATTGAAGAAGAAATGCAATGATAGAGCAAGAATGATTACTGGAATTTGTTGGCTAGGGAACGAGATGTGAGCTAATATAGTTTGGAAGAAGAGCAAGGATAAGTTATGTGGGAAAAGTGAGGTCGAGAAAGAACATTGGAAACATGAATTGGAGAGATGCATAGACTGGGAGGGAAGGAAGGTAATTCTGACACTACAAGATACTGAAAACGACCTTCGAAAGATTGTTCAGGATCTGGAGCGTGAGAAACATATCTATGACAGGATATTAAGAAATATATGATAGGAAAGACTCTGAAGTGTTAGTAAATTGCATTCCGATAGAAGGAAGAAATTAAGGCAAAAGGAGAGCGTGAGATACCCATGGATATGAATATATAATAAGATAATTTGGTGGAATATGACGTTGGGTGTAATTACGATGTATATATGAATGGTAAGTGCGAAGAAATTGCTATTATGCATGATTGATAAAATTCATAATACACTTCGTACTACATCCTTGGAAGGGAGCTTTTTCGTACATAAACTAAAATGCTGATATTGATTGTAAGAATTGAGCAACGTAGTATAATAAACTAGTGGTACTAAAACAGCACGTACTTTCACGCCTGCATTTTCACGCAAAATTACGCGAAAGGTACTAAAATTTTCGAAAAATTACAAATGAGTTGTTACAAAATGTGTCTTCAAGGAACATATTTCATTAAGCGAAAAATATATCTTTAATACTTTACTTGTAGGAAGACTTCCAAAAATTTGTGAATTTTGCAATTTTCAAAAAAGTAGAGTTTTCAAAGGACATGAGACTTGCACCATTTTCTTAAACGTCCTTCACACCATCCAACAACAAAAGTTAATCAAATGTGTTGGAGCCGTTTTTTCGAAAATTTGGAAAATGTACCGGGGACTTCATGTAAAGTACCCCCCAAAATTAAAATATCAGTTTCACATTCAAAAGGAAATGACATGAGGCAGATATTTTAGAGAAAATCGGCTGAACGGTTTAGCCGCTTGCGTTGTTCACAGACGGACAAACAGAGATACGTTTTACTTTCGATGTTTACGATCCCGTATACATACGTATATACGGAGTAACGTAGCATAGATAAAGTTGTGTAATGCTGCGCGAAAAAGGAACAGATTTTCAGCCGAAAAAAAATCATTGCCGGGACCTGATATCTAAAAAGTGGCTAAATCCAAAATTTTTAAAATGAAGACAAAATCCTCTAATACGTTCTGTAGCCAGAATCTCTGATTCGTCCGTCCTTGATATCGAAAAACCAATTGACGTCAAAATGAACGTCTATCCTTCTGACCATTTGTGAACACCACTAACGCGTAAAACATATGTGCGACTTTTTTCAAAATGGATTATCCCCGATCGACCTGGCTCTACTCGAGGCGCCGCGATTTTGAAAATATTTTTACAGAATTTGGAGGTACTATAAATGAAGCCTCCAAAACATTTTTAAAATTTTCGATAAAACTGCTCCAAATGTTTTCTTTAAATTTCTTGTAAGAATAGAGTAAAATTCACTTCTAAAGGTGGCGTAAGTCAGATTTTCATGATTAACTCCGAATTTTTAAAATTGCAAAAGTTAAAACTCTTTACGGCGTCTTCCTACAACAACAAAATTGAAGATAAAGATTTTTCCTTCTAATAAAATTTGTTTTTCATAGTGCGTTCTTTCATTAAGGTCAGGCAAATTTTTTTCAAATTCTAGTATTTTTTGTAGAATATTGCGTGCAATATATGCAATTTTAAAAACAATTCTAATTTTTTTCTTCAAACTTTTGGAATGATAGTGCTAATTGCACTCTTCAATATGACGTAAAGTTCATTTAGTTTTCTTCCAAAAATTACACAAATATAATTTTTGAAAGATTTCTAACGCCGTGAATATGCACTTTTCCCGCAATTAGTAAAAAAATTGTGTGTTAAAGTACTGCAAATGACTTGAATTAATGTTTTTCGAAAACTCAAAAGTTTTCGGTTAAAAAGAGTTTCAAATTTCTAATTTAGAGTAGCGCTGAAGCGCCATAATTCTTAAAAGGGGCTATATATTTTGCGAAGAAAATTGCAATTCAGGACGTGTTTCTGTTCTTTATTATCCATAAAATAACACTTCCGTTCTATTATTATGAAAACGAAAAATTAAGAAAAATTAAAAAAAAAATACTTGATGTGATAATGGCAGTAGAGGGTATGTGGCAAGTTCCTACAGGTAGCTACCAAAAGACCTGTATGTGGCCTACCAGGTAGACCAAAGGAAATAGAAAAGTAATACGGGAAAGTCAGTCCCATTCTGAACCACTAGTTATTTTATTTGTCCACTTTCACCCTTGAAGTCACAACTGCCAGAAACACCAATGTAGGTTTTTTATAAAATGTATTTAAATTAAAAGTAAAATAAAGAAATATAAAATTAATTAATAAATTATTGAGTTGTACTTAAGCTAAGTTGTATAATTCAAAACCACACTTACTACATTACATAAATATTACATAACAATAATGTTTTCTTCCTCCCGAATTATTTGTTTTGGTGGATGTAGTACAGCCTTTTCAAAATTATCCAGTCAATTGTACACACATTAAACGTTTCAAAATGATTCCAGAACTAAGTAGAGCCACTGAATTACTATGTAGTGAAAATTAATGCAAAGTATGGGTACACCTGAATTCTATGAGAAGAATAGAGATAAATTATGTACGAAATATGATGAATACAGATGATTCTACAACATTTATTTTAGAAAATTGAAATACTTGCAAAACTGTGAAATAAAAACTTTATATATTTTATAATATCGTAAACGTGTAAATGAATTAGAGTGAAAATGTATTATAATCTTTGTTGCTACAATGCAACGTTGTGCAATTTCGAAGTGCATCTTAATTGCTTCCTGCAGACAAGTCCAAGAAACGGCCAAGCATGTCGCAGACAAACGAAAGCACGAATCAGGTGGTTTTCCATGACGTAGCTGCAAGGCCAAGGTGTTGTAGAAAAAAAGGCAAGACGAAGGTTGTCCTTTTCCATCTTTCAGCAAATTGAGTGCACTCTTCCATTAAAAACAAATAGTAGTTTCTTTTGTCGTTGACACATTACATTCTTTGCTAAAATGAGAATGAGATACTGTGTTGAATTAGGTTTTAAGTCTTGTACTAAGACGTTAAACCTAGAACTCATTCCCCTTAAAACTTAATTCAACAAAATATTAACAATATTATGTTAGTCATTCACATTTTTTTCAACTCACTCAGTCTTCATGTAGATCGCTAATAGCCTACGAATCATTCATAACATTTTTGGTATCGTAGAATATAGTAGAGTAAATTTTAATATGTAAACACCATCCACAACAACGTCTTGTTCTTGAATACATTTTAAATACGACCGTTTTGCCTTGCACTTGGAATTTAATTTAATTTTGTTTAATACGAAAACACCTTCAACAGATATTTAATGACGTAACCAAAATATCTAAGAGTCACTTATATATCATTGCTTTTCAAATACATTCATAGTTTCATTTTTTAAATGACTATGTAGTAAGTTATTTCTTTAATCACAATTTTCTTCTTCGATCAGCAAATTCGTTTCAAACTTCCTGGTCTTCGATTCTTGCAGGTGAGGTCTGCAATCATCTAGATATTGAGGCGTAGAAATTGAGTTGAGCTCTGGATCAAATTGTCTAATTTTTGTACGTGCATCTCGTGCGAGTAGGAATGCGTACGTAGGTACTGATGAGTGTAAAATAATGCTATAGCTGTAGTAGGATGCTTCAGAATAAATATTACGAACTTCTGGGATATGTAAAGTGGTCGGAGATTATTACTTTGGACCATGAACTTGTAGTGAAATTGTTTCTGAGTTACACACGTGACATTTCCCTTGTATGGCTTCTACTTTTTATTGTTTAGTGTGGGCTACAAACCTTTTCTGATGTTTCGGCCACGACGTTCTATGCATGCAAGGTAGCTGGGCCTCATTGTCTGACTCGCGCTCCGCATGTAATCTGCAAAAGTTGTGCCGTTACCTTCGGCCATCTTGGACGCAAAGTGCCCCATTCTCCACAAACGTGCAGTCCATGGTCGTTTGGAATTGAGCGATGCAAAACTCGACGCAGCGTTTCAAAGGACAAACCTTCCTTGTACAAAAACGATGACCCTGGAGGATACTGCTATAAAATATGTTATCACAAAACATACGAAATGCGAAGTACAGCAAAAGTGAATATATTCACTCTGTCCGCTGGTCGGTGACGCGGTCGCGGCCGGAGCGAGGTGACGAACGGGGCCACAGCGGCGGTTTATGGGGGCGAAGCCATGACGCACGTGGACTGTACTAGTGGCCCGAATACAAAATACGAATTTTGAGTTAATGCACGCGTAGGAGTTGATGCGCGCAGGATAATAACGGGCAGATCCCAACCGATCTCGCATTTTCAGTTAGAAGTATGACGATAACGCCATCCTTTTACCTACCATATGCTGAAATATGAAATCAGTGAGATACGGCAAAACCTTCAAATTTCACCTCCAAAATTTTTTAGGGTGAAAATAAACTTGAACGAAAACAGAAAAAGTGTTGTTGTTTTTTTCAAAATGAACTTCGGTTTGGATATGCAGTTATTATTCGGAGAGTCTCATTTTCACATTAGTCTACCTTCCAGCTGCATCAGCAGGATATCTTACATAACAGTATGGCACCAATAAAAGGCATAATTGTGAACGCAAGAGTGATGCATTTCATTACAAGGTGAAACTTCAAATTAATTTATCTGAATACAAGATTTTTTGAGTTGTGACACTATTGCAGCGCATGGACGATGTATCCGCCAAGCTTCAGTGTATGATGAGTTGCCTATCTGTAAGGGGAGCGATCTCGTAAATCAATGTGGAACTTCGTTTAATGACATTTCCGACCACATCTCTGTTGGTAAAAATTGATAATCTATGACACCTCTTCATATGACCTAAATGTTTTAATAATAATTTTAAACCATCGGTTCATTTTTTTCCTTCTGCAAACTTATTCAATATTGCTTTCGGAACTCCTGAAAATTAGCAGTCACTATATACGTCGTGTGTGATATTATGTTCTTTCTAAATTGTGTATATATATGTACTAACCCAGACGAAATATGTTGCGTCCCATGAAATTAAACGTGTCTTACAGATGAAAAATTGCTGATGATATTTTTTTTGATTTATAAACCATGGGAAAAGACAGTTCACGTAATAAGCTGTCTCTAAGTGACCCTGTCCCTACAGTTCACAGTCCAACTATGACACAGTCCATCCCCTCTTTTTTCGAAAAGAACATTCATAAAATAATCTAAAACTGTAATAAATTACTAAGTAGGCATTGGCGGATGAAAATATCTAAAATCTCATCCACAATCATTGTAAGACAAATTCCAAGATAGGGGTCAAACAACAAACGTTAGTTTCAGATTGGTTTGATCGTTCTGTTTGGACAGCTACTCCGATAAAACTAAAATATTTAATAAGCAGCGTTTGTAATGTGCTTAGTGCAGGCAACTCCGAAAGATGTAATGAAATATGTAATAGAATATAACCTAAGTATTTCGAACTAATTGGGAGTGTGTTCTGTTCGGATTCGGAAATGTTCGGGTTATCCGAAAACAAGTACCAAACATGTATACTAATATTCAAAGACACAATGGAGTTGCGTTACAGAGCGATAATCTCTAAATGTACTGGCCTAATAGCGATGAAACTTATGTGCTAGCTTCCTGAGTCTTCCTGATGTAAAGAGTGCTATTTACAACTATAAACATTAATATATTCACAAAATAATTAATTTTTGGACTGTTTTGCCTAGCATTCCATCACATATTTAAGAGTGCATCAATGTGCAACAGTTTGCCTACGCGCCACCACAGGATGACGACTGAGGTCTACGTTTGAGTTCACAGTTCATCAGTTCACACAATTGCGTATGTCTGTAAAATAGCTGAGAACTTTGTTGATTCTGCCGTCAATTTCTTAATAGGAAATGTTTATATTTACGAATAATTATATTTTTCTTCACTATAGTCATGTGTACACATGTATCTTGGATTTAGATTGTAATTGCATCTAGGCGTGAATGTATTAAGTGTTCATATATGAAATGTTTGGAAAACATTGACATTTTGCTGGTGGATGTTTGATATTGTCGTAAAATGGTATGAATGTAGACAAATGTTCTACATGAAATAGTTATTGCTTTAGTTGTAGGTATTATTATTCATTATTATTTATAATAATTATTATTAGTTATAATAATTATGATTAGTATTACGTATTTGCATATGGGACGAGATCAGACAAATTATGTCGGGATGGGTCGGGTTGAGTGAAAGTTATGCTTATTAAGAATTGTTTACGTGTTAAGTTGAAAATGTGACAGATGAATACATTTTTGTAGGGAAGTGTTTTATTATAGTGGAGAAGGCATACCTTCGGCTGATGTAGGAATAACTATTTTAATTGATGAAATTCGCCAAGAAGAAGTAGTATTTAAGAAAAAGAATAGTGAGAAATGGAAGGAATTGAATGTGTGTCAACACTGTTTTTAAAGGTTATTGGAAATAGAGCAAAAGAGCTTTTAGATAACAGAAAAACTTTGGACAAGCCGGGATCCACTGTGGGATCTCCGATTTTGGAGATATTATAATTGTCTAAGTGGTTAATGGCACCTTTCCGTCAGCCACTATTTATCAAGAATGCTGAAACGCGAACTCGACTTTAATTGAAAGCACTTTATTTATATTTATATTTTCATTGCCTCGGTGTGGTGTCAATAATCAATTTCAAACTTTTTTTATAAATACGCTAGATGATAAAAAATGGAGAAGAAAATATGAAAATTGAGAATGAAAATATTTTTAGTTATAAAGTGAGTGAAGTTTGGAGGCGGGAAACCCAAGTTAAAAAAAATATATATACGTTTTTAGTGTAAAAGTGAGTGAGAAAGACTGGGTATTTCCGAGTGAGAGCAACGCAGAGAGGGGTTGGGCGAGACGGAGCGGGGATGCGATAAAGTAGATACAAGATTCCGCGGAAGGGCGGGAATAGATGAAATACCTCTTCCTGACTTATCAATTATTGTAATAATACCCCGGCAATGCGTGGTACGTATGCGAGGTATACGAATACCCAATGTGTGCAAGTTTCTCTAAGTGAAAATTACTGCTACATAAACATGATATACACCGTAGTTACCAGTGTAATAATGGTTTCATCTCGACAACTTGTGTTTCAATTAGTTGTTCAGTTCTACAGTAATTATAAAATCCTTCCTTTACACTGCAAATACGCATTTTATTTAGTTTTACTCCATCCCTAATTTTATTCGGGTTACTCGAAATTTCGAATTTGCGAGGTTGGGAATAGTGAGATTGTACTGTACGTAAAAGGCATCCCTAGAGTATAGCTGAAACAAAATTATGAGCGAAAAGAAGTTCCGTAACGCAAAATATGAACAATATTGTTGGTTAACAAATGTGTGCGTTTGTAAAAATATAAAGTTTGCTGCCGATCTAGAGTTTCCATATATTTTTTAAATATTTTACGAGTAACGTATGCATTTTCATTTCCGAAACATTTAATTATTTAAAATTTAAACCGAGTTTTTAACGAAACAATGACTTCATGAATGAAATCTCTGTTTAAGAACATCACTGGGATTTTGGAAATAACAGCAGATGATGTGCATTATTTATGATATTATAATGTTTATTATTTTTAATAAATTCGCCTTATTATTTGACCTGTAGCGATGGATCAACCTCAGTGCCCCTTGTATATTTGGATCACCTAATAAAGCATTCATAATCAATCTCTAAATTACTTACCGGACTTATCGGAATTACTTCTCGGAATTATCAATATCGGACGAAAAATATTTCCAATATCGAAAATATCTTCATTAGATTCACGCCACTGTACATATAGATGTTTTTTAAAATTATGAACGCACATTTTGCACCTTGTATTCTGCCAACGTGCATTAAACCCAACTCTAAATAGTCTGTGTGCTTAAAGAAGGTAAAAGGGGGAAAATGCTATGCAATATTCCAACTTTTGTCTTACCTTAAGAGAAGGAAATGCATAGCCGTGGAATCCCAGACTGAAGTCTCGCAGAACTCTGTTGCGTTCGACGTCTTGCGTCACACTCGCGTCGCGCGGTGGGAGGGTCAGCTTACTGTAGCTGGGCACAGTCTGCGCCGAGGCACATGGCGTAAAAGATGGAAACGCACGTAGCATGTCTCAGTTAAACGCAAATGTTCACAGCACCAGGGTTTCTAGCGTTTGTTTAAGAAGAAATAAGCGAATGTTTAGTAAACATCTATCTACATTCTGTAGATGCGGTATTGTTTGCTGAAATAGGATATTGCGCCACAATATCATCTTTCACAGTTCATTAAACCAATAACTTACGAAGTATAACGAAAAGTGCGTTTTTAAAATGCACAAGACATTGAAATGTTTGTTGAAGTATAGTCTGTTAAAGTTAAGTTGAAGTATTATAAAAAACGGAAAGTATACTGTTAATAAAATTCTCTTAAGGATGATATTTTTTGTATGGTCTTATTATATTTTGTGTTCAGATGTTTGTTTGTGTTCCAGTTGTCTCGCGGTCATTAATTTTGAATTTGTAGCTGCACGAGAAAAATATATAAAGGAATAGGCAAGTAATTTATTTTGTTGCTTGATGATCTAGCAGGACAGTCTTTATTCCCTTAGACATCGTGTCAAGTTTACATAACGGTGAGAAGTTTAAAAATATTTATATTAATTGTTATAAATATTTATTTAATAAAACAAAATTTATAATTATTTTAATTACATTTAAAACAAAATATTTTTATTTTATTTCTCTAAATAATAAATAATAAATGAAATATTTTTGCGATAGAATTTTAATAATTGGACATGTATTTCAACATAACGTCATACACAAGCTCTTTGGAATGAATTCCCCATAGGTAATCTAGATGATTGTAAGGTTGCCAATCGACGTGATACATAGTAACGGGATTAGCCAGTGATGCGTTCAGCTTTGTGACATCCTGAAAAACGAAATATATATTGGAAAACATTGGTTAAAGGCTTTTATGTAACGAAAATTCTTTTGTTCAGGAAATAATGTAAGGTTGCTACGGGTGATATGGTTTGTACGTTTGTAATGGTAATTAAAACTATATCCAATGCATCAAAGCATGAGGCGTAGCTAGGCTGGTACAACTGGTGCACCACACTGAGGCCCCTGAGGTCAGGGCTCCGAAGGAATACATTGCCGATTCCCCGATTGTAATGTTCATGTTAAAAAATAAAGAAAAAATAAACATGTATCCCCCCTTTAATAACACATTCGAGATCCTGATTCATTCAGTTCATTACATTTTAATGCTTCAATTTGGTGTGGGATAATCATTTCGAAAAAAACTTGAATATTGAATCGAGTCATATCTATAAGATATTTAATCAGAAATAAATTAAAATATGATGACGAATTACGACGAGTTCATATAATTCAGGGTAAATGGGAAAAGAAACATGACATTGGGTGTATAAATGTTGCTAAGAGGAAAAGAAGATATAAATTCCATTAATTATTTAAACTATTTTTTCAATAGTAAATTGAGTAAATAAACATTTGTGTGATAGGACTTTATTGGGAAGACAAAAGAACTTAGTGTGATGCAACATTCAAAGGTAAACAATGTAAAGAAGACACAGTCGGTTGCAAGAAGATTAACTTCATCTAAAAAATTGAACACCACGATTGTGTCTCGGGAGAAGACAGATGTGGAAAGTCATGAGTAGGATTTTTAGGGAATTCTTTTCGGGACAGTGAGAGGGATTCACAGAGCGTCCGCCCCATCCTGTATATGCTTAGGCATTTCGAAGTCACTTGGGTGACTTCTCCTGTGCTACTGTCCGGCAAAGAACGAATAAACGAGTATGGGCAACTTGCGTTGTTAGTGTGGCACAAACTTTCTGCTCTGTTGCCATTTCTATATCGTGTAAATTACAATCGAAAATTTAACGATTTTCATTTGTAGAAAAGGAATCCTGGAAAGAGAAAAGGCAAAATCGAAAATAATTTATTTCTGGTTAAATCTAAAGTAATTCAATAAGAGTGAGCGAATGTTATTTTTTTATTTGCCACACTAGATTTAGAACTACTAGGTGTATTATCCTCCAATTTTACCGAAATTCATCTGAGAAGCCAAGAATAAAAAATAGCGCACATGTTTTTCAAAATGTTATCTCAAAATGATTTTTTTACAATATTTCATTAAATGCAACCCCCAATGCGTGTGGGTGGTATTGTAAACAAGGGAAGGGGTGCGGGGCCGAATGGAGCGGTGAGAGTGAGCGGGACCAGATGGAGCAGTTAGAGCGGGCGAGATCGGATGACGCCACTAGAGCGGGCGGAACCGGATGGAGCAATTAAAGCGGGCCCGGATGGATGGAGCGCTTAGAGCAGGTGGTGCTGGATGGAACGGTTAGAGTGGGTGCGATGAGATGAAGCGATTAGAGAGAGAGGGACCGCATCGGACAGATATAGCGGGCGGGATTGGATCAAGGTATTAGAGCGCGCGGGACAGGATGAGATGGTTAGAGCGCGCGGGACCTGGAACGACAGGACGTTGAAGCGGATGAGATCGGATGAAGCAATTAGAGTATGCGGGGTGGGATGAAGCGATTAGAACGGGCGGGAACGGATGAGATGGTTAGAGCAAGCGGGGCCGGATGGGATGGTTAGAGCGGACGGGATTGGATGAAGTGGTTAGAGCGGGTGGGGCCGGATGGGACGGTTAGAGTGGGCGGGACCGAGATTCGCAGTGTAAACAACAGATTTTTAGGCGTTTTTCATGCACATCTAAAATATAAGATATTCACTTAGTTTTATCGAATGCCTCAGATGAAAAGAGATTTTTGTCTCTTAATTCTTTAATTTACATGCAATATTTTCGGAGAATCTGAACAAATGTTTGAATATGTTCCTCGGTAATATGTAGTCAAAACAAAGTAGATTATAAAAATCATAATACATTTTATTAAAAACCATGGAAATGTATTTCAAAGTTAAATCCGGAACAACGAAGTTGTGTTAACAAAAACCAAACTAAATCTAAAAATTGTATTAACTGAAATTGGAACGTTGTTGCAAACAGTTTAATGTTTTGAAATAATACACTCCAAACCGCCACAAAATAATATGTTTAAAGGCACCACTGCTCAGAAAGTCTCCCTTAGACGAATGAGAAAAATACGATGGAGAGACTTAAGTAAGAAGAAGAAAAGGCGAAAGAAAGCGAATAAGAAAAAGACGATGTGGAGACTAAGGAAGGGAAAAAGGAGGTGAGGGAAGACGAGATCAAATAAGTGTCGAAAGGCGGCAAGAAAGTAGCAAAAGAATGAGCAGAAAACGAGAAATAATGAGAAAAAGCGATAAAGATCAATACAGTAACATAATTGGTATCACCTAACGTGTACTTACCACAATATTTGATACCCAGTCGTTGTCTGCGTAAAACAAGAACACAGGAGCCGTGACCGCACTCAGATCATAGTCAGGAGGCGCAGTTCTACCATAGTGGGCGATGTTGCTGAAGAGCCCGTAATCCCATTGCCGGAAATGAGCTGTACGAAGAAAAATGTATTGCCTTCAATGTACACAGTCGTGTAGTTTCGCGGATAGTGAAAGACAGTATCAAGTGACATCATTGGAACATTTTAAATAAAATTGTATAATTTGAATTTCTCTTTCCAAATGCTCTTGAGAAATTGTTTTGTCAGATGATTTAATTTCTATTTTATTTAATCTGTTAATCATATTTATCCAAAATGTATACTTTTTATATACTGGTGTAGTTTTTTACACCATCGCAGTAACGTAAATAAATACTACATCATCCCCTATTGTAAAATCCTCGATCAAAACTAATGTTTGTTTTTGTATCAACTGTTCTCATATATTTATGAAAATTGCATAGAAGATAATTCTACAGCGTTGCATCAAAAGTTCTATAAGACAAGAGAAACTGTGTAAGAATAATAGGTAGAGGTTTCAGAAGCTAAACACTTGAAAATTCACATGGGCGGACGTACCTCCTTAGAGTGATGGTCACATGCTGCCATCTAGCAGTGCAAGTCTGAACTCGGATGCTCGTTGGGACACAGTTCTTTTATCATTTTTCTTATTTGTTCAAGGACTGGTGTGTACGGCATGGGATATATAGATGGCAAATAGGAAGAATAAAACGACATAACTCCTTCGATTTTCATCTTCTCTATTGACAATTATAATTGTCAAGGAAGTGTTATGAACTTTATTTTGGATGTAAGAAAGGCCACGAGGAAAAGAAATTGTCCTCTCTATATGCTGTGTGTCGTGTGTTACACTCCTGACAAGTTGGTTAAAAGGGGCACGACACATGAGTCATTCCACGTCAATTCGCACACTCACAAAACATCACTATATTTCAGCGTCTTGAATCTTTATTATTTCTAGGGTTTAAAGTAGATGACATGAATTTTGTTAGTTTTTTTCTAATCCAACTCCTTTTAGAAATATTACCAATACAATTTTATGTGATGTAAATATATTTTTAAACGTATTATTTAAATATTTAAAATATGTCAATTTTTAAAATACAATGTTTTGCATTAGTTCGACACTTATCTTAAGAAATACGTTTGTATTTTTACACTAATTTTGTATAGACCTGCCAAATTTCAAAGTGGGACACGCATAAATGACTTTTTTTTTCACCGGCGCACGTAGGCAGCCCGCTGTCCGCCGTAGTCGCTGCTTGAACTACGGGGCGTCAATGACGACGCATCGTGACGTCGAAACATAAAGCAACCGTGAGACTTACGTCATGTTACGAATCGCAGAATCACACGTACGGTCTCAAATGGAAGTCTTCTGACTAAATGCGACTATTAAGTTTATTTATAAACAACGCACTGCTAGGTTCTGCCTAAAACAGCAGCTTTCTCTTTCAGATATACTTAGTTGTGTAAAAAGAAGAATCCGCGAAACATGTGTATTGTTCGGTGAAGTTAGAAACCACAGATTGCCTTACAATAATATCAAAACTATTATTTGCATTTTCTTAATATGAAAATCTATAATTGGAGAAGAAATGTATGTTTATGTTGTTATGAACAGCATTTTCGAGAAGTTAAAAATTGACTGCTGTCAAAAAAGTTATATGATTTGAAAAACTAGTTTTGATAATCCCTTCTCGCGACGAGTCAAATGAGGGTTTTTTTTTCAAGAAAGTGAGAGTCGACTATATTTGTTAATTCCGAAGATATGTTGGGCAGTGACAATGATGAATAAAAGTGCACTGCTGGGCCTGGTCATCCTTCCGTATCGCCTGATACGAGAAATAAACAAAATGCTAGAGTAAGTTCGTCTTCTGTTTCTTCTGTTGTCTTTGCCTGTAGTTTATCGTCTTAACTAATGTATTGAATCGGTTTGACACCTTTTAATTTGAATTTAATCTTCTCTGAAGGTCATATGTATGTATCTGGGACATAGCAACATGTGAAGGGATACTTTTATTTATTGCTTTGCGAAAGTATATTGATTGTAATCGTCTACTGGTGATTGGCACGTGCTTGAGGAGTGACGCTCTAGCAGACGCTGCAGTAAAACAGCAAGTAGAAATTTTCGTTAAATCAAATTTTCGTTAAATTTATGCGATTTCTTGAATGACCCACGTGTATTTTACTGTTCCAATGATTTGGAGGAAACCAACTTATCACATAACACTATTTTTGTCTGACAGAAATAGCTGGATTCGCCTCAAAAACGAAGCTAACTGTACATTATTCTAATTTACCATCTGCTATAGGGCTTGTAAATCACAGGCCTCATTGCCGGTGCCACTACCTCGTGAGAATGAGACAGGGAATGAAGATAAATGCTACAGTGACGAACATTCAGAAGACGGAGGAGATATCTATTCTGATTCAACATTTTAAGACTCCTCTGACGCATTACAAACCTCCTCTTCACTTTGATCAACATTTTTGTTTTTTTCACTGTACACATGTGAATCTCTTAGTAGAGGATGTCATTTTACGTAGGGACGCAATTACAAACACCATCATCACATAAAAACTGAAGCTGAAACGGAAATTATGAAATTAGATTTGAATTTCGAGACAAATTATCTTACCGAAAGAGGATGTTTTGTTCGTGTTGTAGAAAAAAAGATTTTTTTGTAGACCAATGTTTTCATTTTTCTGTGATAATCTTATGCCAAAGCATAGACCATATTTCATTCTTGAACTTGCTACTGTGACAGCCAGTCTTGGTAGTATTGTTTATTATTACTTTAATTAGGATAAAGAAATCCGTAGAGACCACTCTCTTGGACACTACCCACTGGCTTCAAATTTGCACAACGTTGATACTATACCTTCTAATGACGAGGTGTAGAACGAATATAATTTATTGCTTTTCGCATCTTATATACACTACGAATAAATTGCAAAAAAACATTATTATTATTATTATTATTATTATTATTAACAACAACAACATGAACTGGTGGTTTTAGTCTAAAAATTATTAAAAAAAGGTTGAGGAAATATAAAATCGGCTGGTCATTGCTGAGTCAAGTATCTGTTATCAATGTTTTGCTCTTTCAAGTAACCATCAAAATCGGGGTTTTAAACAAATTAATGAAAAATAGAATAAATTTAAAATTTGTCCTTTTAGGCAAGGAATTTATTCATAAAGAGGCATTTTAACCACTCATTCAGTTTCACATAATATATTTAGTGAGTAATGAAGCCCAAGAATTTAAAGAAAACTAAAATTACCTTCCTAAGAACGACTTTTACTCCATCCAATGTTTTTATCCTACTTTTCTGTTATCACTACAATTAATGAAGGTGTTTACATCTTTAAAAAATCAGTTTTGAGTACTCGTGAAAATTCATCACTATTGCTGTTTTTATTCAATTGATTTTGCATAAATCAGTGTGAGCATAATAGGTACTTGTGATTATTATTGCTATTCCCAAGAATTATATTGATTATGTAAGCAGATTTCAATGGTTTAGATCCTCCATATTAATACAGCTCATCAGATGTTGTAAGGATAGCTCCAAACCAAACTTCAGAACAATGTGGTTAAACCTCCTAAGATTCACATATGTTATATTTTATTATAATGCAAAAGAGTCTCCAAGCGTCATCTAAATGTTATTCTCAAATTTAATATATTTTCATGCATCTGGAAATTGTTTGTAGTAAGCTGGAGAGTTGTACAAGTATGTATAATTCAGCAATATATGTTGAGATGATTTATCTCTTAAATAAATTTTAAAGAAAATTTAAGGACTAATGACAGTAAAGATGGGTAAATTCAAGGAATTATGAATAAAAATGAGATGTTGGGTACTTAAGAGTCGAGTAAACATAACAAAAGTGATTTTGAATGTGTATATAGAATATGAGGAAAAGATTAATAAATAATATTTTTGTAAAGAAACATTATTGTAGGAGACAAAGGATCTCTGAAGAACAGTATGGCATCGAGGTAACGAAACAATGTAAACAACAGACGAGCAGGAGTAAGTTAATGTGAATGTGATGTGGATTTTTGATCAGAGGAGAACGATATTAAGTTGGGGCAGTATGTATTGCCGTGATCGATAGAAATTGTTTAAAGTTAAAGTTAGAACAGAACATATTAAGTATACGAAAATATTGGTTGCGGGATGTTTGATCTGGTGTTGATTCGTGAATTAAATCGAGTAAAACGCGGACAATTTAAAAAGATGTACTGATAGAAACGTGAATGTGGACTATTAAAAAATTGAGGTAGGACGACTAGCAATGGAATTAATCGCCACAATTGCAGTTTTCCAGGTGTATAATTTAAAGACTTCGAAATAACATTAAATGTTCAAGGTTAAGGATGTTAGTAGAAGGTTAAGATAAATTGAAAAAGTATGTCAAAATTAAATTATATTTAAAATATGAATGGCTATCTTAGGTAGTTAAATAAGATTAAATTTCTTGTTAAAATGTGAATTAGAAAAGAAGAAAGAACTATATTACTTTAT